AACTTTTGTATATAATAGTAATAAATGGATAAGTAAATAAATAAACGTGTGTGTGTGTGTGTGTGTGTGTGTGTGTGTGTGTGTGTGTGTGTGTGTGTGTGTGTGTGTGTGTGTGTGTGTGTGTGTGTGTGTGTGTGTGTGTGTGTGTGTGTGTGTGTGTGTGAGAGAGAGAGAGAGAGAGAGAGAGAGAGAGAGAGAGAGAGAGAGAGAGAGAGAGAGAGAGAGAGAGAGAGAGAGAGAGAGAGAGAGAGAGAGAGGGAGAGGGAGGAGGGAGAGGAGAGGGAGGGAGGGAGGGAGAGGGAGAGGGAGAGGGAGGGAGGAGGGAGGGAGGGAGAGAGGGAGAGAGGGAGGAGAGAGAGAGAGAGAGAGAGAGAAGAGAGAGAGAGAGAGAGAGAGAGAAGAGAGAGAGAGAGAGAGAGAGAGAGAGAGAGAGAGAGAGAGAGAGGGGAGAGAGAGAGAGAGAGAGAGAGAGAGAGAGAGAGAGAGAGAGAGAGAGAGAGAGAGAGAGAGAAGAGAGAGAGAGAGAGAGAGAGAGAAAGAGAGAGAGAGAGAGAGGGAGAGAGAGAGAGAGAGAAAGAGAGAGAAAGAGAGAGAGAGAGAGAGAGAGAGAGAGAGAGAGAGAGAGAGAGAGAGAGAGAGAGAGAGAGAGAGAGAGAGAGAGAGAGAGAGAGAGAGAGAGAGAGAGAGAGAGAGAGAGATGTGTACGTGCCAATGAGTGAGAGTGAGAGCTTGAGAGTGCGCAATCAAAGAACACAGACTTAAAAACTCGTAAAACAAACACACATCACATTCAAAAGCGGAGTGCCAGAGTGCCAGATGACATGCCACGAATAATTTTGAATAGCATCGTCGTTATCTGGCAAAGACACCCCCCCCACCCCCCCACACCCACCCCCACCCCACCCCAACCCACCCACCCATTAGGAACTGCCTGCGGAGGGGCTGTGAAATCTTGAAGCTTGGAATATTGGGATTTCTTTCTTTTAAATAGCCTGGAATGCTGTTTTGGGAGGGAGGGAGGGAGAGGGAGGGAGGGAGGGAGGGAGGAGGGGGAGGGAGAGGGAGAGGGAGAGAGAGAGAGAGAAGAGAGAGAGAGAGAGAGAGAGAGAGAGAGAGAGAGAGAGAGAGAGAGAGGAGAAGAGAGAGAGAGAGAGAGAGAGAGAGAGAGACAGACAGACAGAGACAGAGCAGAGACAGAGAGACAGAGAGACAACAGACAGGACAGAGAGACAGAGAGACAACAGACAGAGAACAGAGATATAAACGAGACAAAAAATCTCTTTTCACCCCCAAAATTTAACCTGACTTTCCATCCAACCCAAATCAACAGAAAAGCAAAAGCAAAAAAAAATAAATAAATAAGAAAATAAAAAATTAAAAATAAAATAAAAATAAAAATAAAATAAAAATTAAAAAAAATAAAAAATAAAATAAATAAAAATTAAAAAGATAATATATAAGCACTCAAACTTCCATTCGTATTATCAAAGCAAACCCGTAACGGCGCACCACTAATACCATCTCAAAACAATCTCGAGGAAGGAAAAAGGAACATAATTTCCTCGCCAGAAAAGAAAGGATAAAAAACACAAGAACGATAAGACGAGACAAAACGCCCGACCGATAACGATATCGAGACAGAAAAAAAAAACAAAAAAAAAAAAAAAAAAAACCGACAGATAAATCAACTGGGGAAAATATGAATAATCCGTATCAAATAAAATTCGTAGAACCAACAAAAACTCGAAAAAGACCAATACACCTTATCTCCCGTCGCGATAACGGACCACAATACCCCCGGCCGTTCAAAACCTCCTGATTTCTCCGCCGATAACAAAAGATCCTTATCGGACCCCGCTAAAAGTGGCCCTCCGATAAACCCTTTCGTTCAAAAAGGGTAAAAAAAGGAGGCCGGCTGGGGCCAAAGGTAAGCCATGCGAACGCCACGAGGTTTTTCCAACAACCCCGCCTTCGCCTTCGCCTTCGCCTTTCGTCCTTCGTCCCCCCCCTTCGTCTTCGTCTTCGTCTTCATCCCGCCTTCGTCTTCGTGCCCCGTCCTCGTCACCGTCCGTCCCCGTCCGCCGCTTCCCCGTCCCCGTCCGTCCCCCGTCCCCCCGTCTTCGTCCCCGTCCCGTCCCCGTCCCCGTCCCCGTCTTTCGTCCCCGTCTTCGTCTTCGTCTTCCGTCTTCGTATTCGTCTTTCGGTCTTCGTCCCTTCCGTCTTCGTCTCGTCTTCGTCCCGTCCCGTCCCCGTTCCCCCGTCCCGTCCCGTCCCCGATCCCCGGTTCCCGTCCCCGTCCGTCCCGTCCCGTCCCGTCCCGTCCCCGTCCCGCCAGTCCCCGTCCCTTCCCCGTCCCGTTCCCCGTCCCCGTCCCCGTCCCCTGTCCCGTCCCGTCTTCGTCTTTCGTCCCCATCCTTGGTCTTGGTCTTGGTTCTCGCCCGAGAAGACCCTGTGGAAAAAATGGCCCGAACGAGACAGGTGTTCGAGCCGACAAGGGGGCTCGCAGATTGGTCCCTCTTTTCTCTCTTTAATTTTCTGTTTATAAGGTGTGTAAAGCGGTGGTAAATGAAGGAGGGAGAAAGAGGGGGAGAGGGAGAGGGGAGGGATAGGAGGAGGAGGAGGAGGGGGAAAGGGAGAGGGAAGACGGAGAGGAGGGAGGGGAAGGGAGAGGGAGGGAGCGAGGGGAGAGGGAGGGAGGGAGAGAGGGAGAGGAGGAGGGGGGGAGAGGAGATGGGAGGGAGCGGACGGAGGGGGGAGAGAGAGAGAGAGAGAGAGAGAGAGAGAGAAGAGAGAGAGAGAGAGAGAAGAGAGAAAGAGAGAGAGATGAGAGAGAGAGAGAGAGATGAGAGAGAGAGACAGTAGAGAGAGAGAGAGAGAGAGAAGAGAGGAGAGAGAGAGAGAGAGAGAGAGAGAGAGAGAGAGAGAGAGATGAGAGAGAGAGAGGGTTAGGGGGGAGGGGGACGCGTGGGCGAATTTTCCAAGAAACTCTACGTTCGCTACTCCCTGCAAGGATGCTACCTTTCCATTTCATGTGCGCACATAATCAACGTCAGAACTTCTCGTCATGTTTGTGTTTGCATGTATTGTAATATGTATGAGTATGTTAATAGGTTATAGGTAATACGTATATGCACAGGCCATGTAATATGAAGTATATGTATGTGTGTATGTGTATGTATATATATATGCATGTGCAATGCGTGTGGGTGCGTATACGTGCATGTACCTGCAACAGGAACATACGAGGGGAAGACAAGGAAAACAACACGGAATATGCCTTGTCCTCTGTCCTTCTTCGCTGTTCCTTTTTAACAATTCTGTTCGTCATGACCTTCCACGCGTGCAATGTACGCACGCGAAAACTCATAAACGATTGGACGTCCATTCACCAATGCCATCGGCTGCCCCTCCACTCCCCCCTTTCCTACTCCCGTCCCCACCCTCCCCCAAGCCATACTACTCCAACCGGAAATCTCCCCTTTCCGTCCACCCCCCCAAACCTTGACCCCAACCGGAACCCGCCCTAATCCTGTCCCCCAACCCCCCCAACCCTCCCAAGCACCGGAACCCCTGCTCCTACTCTCGTCCCAACCCTACCCCAACCGGAATCCCCTACTCCCGTCCCCAACCCTACCCCAACCCTACCGATGCCATACGACACCCCCTACTCCCGTCCACAGTGTATGTACCGAAGATCGCTCTGTCGAGCGTACAGACAGTACTCTCTTGTGCCAGCGAGATAGTTCGGTGAAGATGATAGACTTGTGCCGCTTAGCTGTCGAGCTGTCACAGGACAACACTGCACGAAACGCCGTCGACCCCAGTCTCTGGTCGCGATGTATGTGATGGAGCAGATCAAGTTGACGGACGATCACAGTCTATACCGGTTTACCCAACCGGAACCCCCCCCCTATCCCGTCCCCAACCCCCCAACCGGAAAAACCCCTTTACTCCCGGTTCCCCATTCCCCCCTAACCTACCCAACCTGGAACCCCCTACTCCGGTCCGCCAACCCCCCCCCCCAACCCACCCCCAACCGGACCTCCCCCCTACTCCGTCCCCAACCCCCCAAACCCTACCCAACTGAACCCCTACTCCGTCCCCAACCTCTTCCCCACCCTTACCCAACCGGAACCCCACCCCCTACTCCCGTCCAACCCCCCCCAACCATACCCCAACCGAACCCCCTTCTCCCCGTCCCAACCCCCCCCCACATACTCCATACCGGAACCGCCCTACCTCCCGTCCCCAACCCCCCCCCAACCCTACCCAACCCTTCTCCCAACCTACCCAACCCCCCCAACCCTAACCCAACCGGAACCCCCCTTCTCCACGTCCCCAAGCCCCCCAACCCTAACCCCAACCGGAGACCCCCCTACTCCGTCCCAAACCCTCCAACCTACCCCAACCGGGAAGCCCCCCTACTCCGTCCCCAACCCCTACCCTCCCAACCCCAACCGGAAAAAAAAGACATGCTTACCCATGGCATAGTAATTGTGCACAGAGCGTCCGCATCATCTCTTTGCTCTCTCCTGCTCTCGCGCTCGCTCCAGCTCACCGGGTGGCTTGTTGCGGATGTGCTTGAGCATGTTGGAGGTGGAGTTGGTGTGCGGATCCCAGCACATGGAGTGTCCGCACAGGCTGCACACCGTCCGCCGCCGCTCGTGGGACTCGAACTCGAAGTACAGCCACACGACGGAGCGGAGGTAAGGCGGGCGTTTCTTGACGAAGGGCGTGTCCGAGGAGCCCTTCATCAGGGGGCTCGTCTCCTTCCCTGCCCGGGCTTTGGGCATCGTGGTGGTCCGTCGTCGCCGCTTTCCTTGCACACTCGTTTTTGTTTTTATGTTTTTTCCTTTAGGTTCTCTCTCAAAACGACGTGCGAGCGGTTTGTCAATGAGAAGAATCCGCCAAAAATCAGCTGATGATCCTAAGACGGGTCCCATATAATTTATTCATTCATTGACTTTTTTTTTTTCCCACTTCAACACCATTTTTTTTTCTTTAAATCCTCTTTCCAAAAAAACAAACGACGCGCCACGGTTTATCAGCGAAGCGAGTCCACAAAGAATCAGCTGATGATCCCGAGACAATCCATAACTTTCATTCACTCAAAACTTGCCTTTTTTTTTTTTGTTTTGCTCTTTCAACTTCGACACGCGAGCTCACCTGAAATGCACACCTGCGGGACAAATTGGCCATTAGGCACAATTCGACACATCCGGGATATTTCACCGGTACTTCTTGCTATAGTTCCTCACAAGCGTTCATTTTTTTTTTTTTTTTTTTTTTGTGTGTGTGTGTGTGTGTGTGTGTGTGTGTGTGTGTGTGTGTGTGTGTGTGTGTGTGTGTGTGTGTGTGTGTGTGTGTGTGTGAGTGTGGTGAGTGAGTGATGTGAGTGAGTGAGTGAGTGAGTGTGTGTGTGTGTGTGTGTGTGTGTGTGTGTGTGTGTGTGAGTGTGTGAGTGAGTGTGTGTGTGTGTGTGTGTGTGTGTGTGTGTGTGTGTGTGTGTGTGTGTGTGTGTGTGTGTGTGTGTGTGTGTGAGTGGTGTTGTGTGTGTGTGTGTGTGTGAGTGTGTGTGTGTGAGTGTGTGTGTGTGTGTGTGTGTGTGTGTGTGTGTGTGTGTGTGTGTGTGTGTGGTGTGTGTGTATGTGTGAGTGTGTGTGTGTGTGTGTGTGTGTGTGTGTGTGTGTGTATGTGTGTGTGTGTTGTGTGTGTGTGTGTCTGTGTGTGTGTGTGTGTGTGTGTGTGTGTGTGGTGTGTGTGTGTGTGTGTGTGTGAGTGTGGTGTGTGTGGTGTGTGTGTGTGTGTGTGTGTGTGTGTGTGTGTGTGTGTGTGTGTGTGTGTGTGTGTTGTGTGTGTGTGTGTGTATGTGTATGTGTGTGTGTGTGTGTGTGTGTGTGTGTGTGTGTGTGTGTGCACGTGCGTGCGCGTGTAAGAACGTTTCCGTGAGGGATGGCGGGAGGGTGTGCACCTAAATGCGTGACACGGCGAATACGAACGCGTACGAGGTGCCGATTTCCGCCACACACGACCAAAACAGAGGCTCACGCAAAACACACCCATTTCCAAGCCGGTGCAGCAGCCTCGTCGGCCCCGCACCACCGCCGCCGCCGCCACCGTCACCCGCCGCCAGACCCTCGGGTTCGTTCGGCCACACTCCGCGCCGCCGCCATCCCCGCGTGCGCCTCCTCGGGAACCATAGCAGTCAGTCCCTCTTCCTACCCGCTTCGGACCTCTCCCCCTCCCCCCCTCACCCCCTCACCCTCGCCCGGCGTAAACATGGCGACGGGAAAAGCACTCGGGGATTAAATGCACCACGGAACTCATTACAAAACTTAACGACTCGGGGGCTGGGAATCCATTCGCGGCGATAGTCTCACTGCGATAGACTCATTAGGCTCGGTTCCCCCTCGCGCTCTCTCTCGGCTACCCGACTCGGGTCTGCCGTTCGGGTCCGGGGGTTGCCAGATACCGATTCTTAGGAGTCGCTTCGAATCGATAATAAAAAAAAAGTGTAGGTCTATTTGGGGCTTCCCGACGTTCGATAATTTTCCTTCTGGGAGGGTTAGGAAAACGACCATACGGGAGGGGGAGGGATGGACCGCAATTGGATAGGCGGATCGTTAATATCCCGCGATCTCTGGCACCTTCGGATAGGAAACGAGTCCATTACCCGTTACCCGCGTCCGTTTCTCCGGACTGCCGAGTAAAACCGAGGGCGCTTTCCTGTAAAACCGGCGCCTCGGAAAGAGTGATAAATGTATCAAAGCCTTCTTTAAATATCCCCTCAAAATGAATGGCGAGTTGCAAGACGTATCTGTGTGGTATCCGGTGAAAGGATGTGAGATAATTTCAGTATTGTTTGTCACATTCCAATTTCTTCGGACAAGAACGGTGCTGCATTAGCGTGATGGGCTGAGCGTTGCTGCCGGCCGCCGGAGAGCGTGTCGTACCGCTCGCCGGCCACGTGACTGCGCCTGCCTGACGTACGACCCGAGTAGAAAAAGTTCTATGCTAAACTTTACATCTCTCATTCGCGGGTATGTAATGTAATAGATTAAATCATGATGATATCCACAATGCGGGTTGTGGTTTTACCTAACCGCTTCGTCCTGTTATCTCCGTAATATGAATGGATTTCTGTCTCCCACGAAAATTGTATAGCGTTCTTAATCATTTAATGCAACAGACATCAAACATCATCTTATAAACACATATAATCACTTGCCTTAACTCCATGTCGAATCGTTAGTCCTCATACACTCACTTATGATATGCATGGAATAGATAAGTTCTCCATAATCGCATTAATTAAGCAAATTGCCTCGACTGCTTAGCGGTGTCCGAATCCCATACGAATTCACGAGCCAATTTGTGTTTTTTTTTTCTCTCTCTCATCTCTCTTCTCTTTCTTTCTTTTTGTGTGTGTGTTCGTCGTAAAGACAACTTCCCTAACCCTGGAATTTCCGTAGAAACGAAGAGGGTTTTCTTTGACTTCGC